ACTTCAGACCAATGGATATTAAAAGCAATACAGGGAGTGGAAATTGAGTTTCTAATGAAACCATTCCAATTGCAGTCACCTAAAGAGCTAACTGTCAGTAGTTCTGAGGAGTGCATTGTTGATAATGAAATCACCAAGTTAATGAAAGCGGTAATTGAGCCTACTAACCCAGGATCAGGGGAGTTTATTTCTACCATTTTTATTCGCCCGAAAAAAGATGGGACCTTTAGAGTAATTTTGAATTTGAAAAGGTTAAATGAATTTGTTGAATACCATCACATTAAGATGGACACTATTTATACTGCAATACATTTGATGAAACAGGGCTGCTTCATGGCCTCTATTGATTTGCAGGATGCATACTATACTGTACCAGTATGCCCTAATCACAGGAAGTATCTAAAATTCTCTTGGCGAGGACAATTGTATCATTATACATGCCTGCCAAATGGTCTGGCCTCAGCCCCACGTATTTGTACAAAAATCTTGAAGCCAGTCTATGCATCACTGTGGAATAAGGGGCACATCTCCTTCGGGTATATTGATGACTCGTACTCGCAGGATGACAACTTTGACGGTTGTAAGACAAATGTCCATGACACAACCACAATGTTTGATTCATCGGGGTTTTTTCCCCATCAGACCAAGTCAGTAACCATTCCTGTCCAACAACAGGACATGACGGTCTCTTTAACCTCTGAAAGAGCCACAAAGCTTCAAACTGCTTGCATAAATTGGTTAGCAAAGAGGAGACTTTTAATTCACGGGGGTGCACATGTTATTGGCCTTATGGTGGCTAGTTTCCCCGCTGTGACCTTTGCACAGCTATTCTATTGGGCTTTTGCTTATTTACAGTGGTGGATATCCAATATTGAGACATCCTCCAAACCTGTTCTGGCCAGCCAGCCAGATATGGTAATTCAATCTGATGCATCACTATTAGGCTGGGGTGCCTATAGTGATGGAAAGCATGCAGGAGGTCCATGGGGAGAAACCGAAGCTAAGGCACACATTAATGTGTTAGAAACAATTGCAGCCTTTTTAGCATTGCAGTCTTTTTTGTTCTTGATACCACAGCTGTAGCTTATGTGAATAATATGGGTGGATACCAGTCCTCAGAATGCAATGCAATAGTAAGACAAATGGGGATTTGGTGCATTCAGAAAAACATCTGGGTATCAGCAACCCATATCCCAGGTGTCACTAATGTAGAAGCAGATAAAAAATCCAGGCAATTTGATGTCCATACAGAATGGGCATTAAATGATCAAGTTTTTGATAGGATCTGTGTCAAAATTTTTTAGCCCCAAGTGGACTTGTTTGCATCCCGGCTTAACAGGAAGTTAGAGCAATATCGCCAATATGTCTCTTGACAGCCAGATCCTAAGGCAGTAGCAGTTGATGCTTTCAGCATGAACTGGGCTACTAAAAGCTTTTACGCTTTTCCTCCCTTTAGCCTGTTAACAGATGTTTGGCAAAAGATCCAGGAGGAATCAGCAGAGGGTATACTGATAATACCCCTGTGGCCTACACAACCGTGGTACCCTCTGGCAATGCAAATGTTGGTCAACCACCCACAGATTTTGCCCAAAATGCAACGTCTACTTTACTTACATCAAATCATGGCGAAGCGGAACTGTCCAGCAGTACCAAGTTACTTACCATGCGACAGCATCCCCTGGTTTGCAGATTCTTCGTGGTGTTTGCTATAACACTATACATGGGATGTTAACCTAGTGTTGACTTACCTCAAGACATTATACCCTCTTGAGAAAATCATGCTTAAAGAACATGCTCATAAACTTGTTATGTTAATAGCATTGCTATTTGGTCAAAGAACACAAACAATAACACTAATGGACATTACGAATATACAGTTTACCGATGCTGGTTGTCTTATATATATATACATCTACTTCGGCAGCTAAGGCAGCGGGAGTTTCTATAGATGAGATACTCAGTAGTGCAGGACGGTCTAATTGTGCAACTTTTCAGACATTCTATAACAGACCTGTTGAAAATGGGGCAAGTTTTGCTGAAGCAGGTCTAAAGACAGTTATTTAAAAAGTTTCACAGTACATTTACATTATTTTTGTTCTGAGCTATTGCCTATGTTAAGGCTTGTATAGTTTATGTTATCAGCATTTACATTGTTGTTTATACACTTTGTTTATCTGTTTTCACTCCCAAACATTGGGCTTTAAAATCTCATGTGATTTCCTTGTGACGTAGCATAACAAGGAAATAGAATTCTAAAATTAAACGAGACTTACCTGTAAGTTGAAGTTTGATTGGAATTCTGTGACTTGTTATGCAGAAACAAGGGGATCACAGCCCGCCTCATGTTATTATGTATAACCCTGCCCACAAACCAATGTTTGGCAGTTTCTTTAAAGACTGAATGCAATCTCATGTAATCCCCTTGTTCCTGCATAACAAGTCACAGAATTCCAATCAAACTTCAACTTACAGGTAAGTCTCGTTTAATTTTAGAATTTTCCACCAAGATAAAACATGGGATAAAAGAAATAACGAAACAATGTTCGATGTTACAATGGGTAGCTACGATGGGGCAGAGATAGTCGGATTATTCATCCTAAGTAAACTTGAGACGAAGTTCGGAAAGAATCAAGTTGGTTTGTACAGAGATGATAGTTTGGCAATTTTGAAAGCTAGACGAGCCAGATCAGCCGATAAAGCGAGGAAAGAATTATACACCAGTTTTAATGACATTGGTTTCAAGATAACAGCAGAGGTGAACCATCATGTTGTCAACTTCCTAGACCTTACTTTGGACTTGAAAAACGAAACATTTTCACCCTTTAGAAAACCAAACAACGACCCACTCTACGTCGACAATAGATCCAACCACCCACCTTCTATCATTAACCATATCCCTTCCTCTATCAACAAACGCATCTCCTCGCTTTCTTCCGATCAAGCATCCTATGATTCTGCTGCACCATTTTACAAAGATGCGCTTAAGCGTAGCAACTACGATGTACCTCTGCAATACTCGGCCTGTGATGATTCCTCCAGTTTGCCACCTACCAACCGAAGACGTCGTAGAAACATCATTTGGTTTAATCCATCCTTCAGCAAAACAGTTCGAACCAACGTCGATCGAAATTTCCTACAGTTGATTGATAAACATTTCCCTTCTACCAACCCGCTTCATAAGGTCTTTAACCGCAACACAGTTAATGTTAGTTACTCCTGCATGGAGAATGTCAAAACCATTATATCCCGACATAACCATCCCCTGTTAAAACAAAAACCTGCCAAAAACCAGATGAATGCCCACTAGATGGAAAGTGCAAAGTAGACAACATCGTCTATAAACCCATGGTGACAACAACTGATGACGGAAATACTAAGGAGTATATTGGAATGACGGCCAACCCATTCAAAGAAAGATACGCCAACCACAAAACGTCGTTCAACCTCTACAACCACTCGTCTGATACAAAGCTTTCCAAGTATGTTTGGAGTCTGAAGCGGAGTGGAAGAAATTACAACATCAAGTGGTCTATCCTGAAAAGAGCTGCTGCGTACACGCCTGGTGGAAAGCGATGTGGCCTCTGTTTGGAAGAAAAGTTATGCATCTTGAAAGCGAAAGGGGACAAATCACTGAACACGCGATCAGAGTTTTACGCAAAGTGCTGCCATAGGGAAAAATTTAGCGCGTGCAAATTCAAACCGATGACGCAAGACAAGCCTCCGCGTCAGCACAGAATAGGTAGTTATACCAGAAGCGTAACTCTAGTCGTTTCCCTTATTGTTTGACGTCCACGAAAATTTTAACTCGCTCACGTCAGGCCACGCCATCCTGGCTAGTACAGCCGGAAGTTTTATCAGGATTTGGTAGGTACAAAGTGCCGGTTGTACTAGCCAGGATGGCGTGATTGATGACGAATCGCTTGTAAAAACGCGGACAAATATTTGCTCGAGTTACGCTTCTGGTATAACTTCCTATTCTGTGGCGTCAGCGACCGATCGTTGATGTTGACGAATCAAACATACACTGAATTAATTGCCTGAACATCGTCTTGAATAAGGCGTGAAACTTGAGTATATTTAGCAATAATTAATTTTAAGATATAAATATATCTTGCTCTGCTATAATATTAGTATTGAGCACTTTGTTATCTACTACAACAAAACAAAAAGCGAACGGGACTCAAAGACCCATGCGAGGCACTCCCCGTTACAAACTGTAAAGATTTCTTAAATATTTACATTAATAATAGCTATGAAAAAACATATGCCAAATACTTGAGCACCAATCAATTCTTAAAACCGCACAACAGTACGTTTACACACAAACGATCGGTTGGCCGATTTCAGGTATTGCCGAATGTTAAAATGACAAATTATAAAAGTTATATCAGTTGACAACACAGAGTAGACAGATATACAGAACTACAACTAGTATACCCACCTTTTTGTGCGCGTGCTCGGCAAGTTACTAGATGCATGCATGCATCCCATTGGATGGCGGTTCGCTTTAACCGCTCGCGAAACTTGCCGAGAACGCGCAGTTGATAATTTTTTTTTTTACCCGGTCGCCTGAAAAAAAGTGGGCACATGAAAACGCAAGCTTCCGCAGCACTTACGACGGCCGGTTACAGCTCTGCATGTATCCACTCTGTGGTTGACAATGTCGTCAGATGACATTGACAGCGTATTTTAATATCATTTAAATAAAACTGAATCCAGCCTGAGCCAAATCGGCCCGTCCAATCGCTATGCGCCAACGCACCTTAAGAATTTTTGGATTTAGTATTAAATGACAATCCAACTACTTAAAAATGTGAAAGAACATAGAGAGTGAGAAACAAGCAACACGCATATGTTTTGTTCGAACTAATTCCTATGGCATGAACAAGTTCGATGTAATGACCAGGTACAAGTCATATCTATATACATCAAAAATAGTAGTAATTAAATGTAAGTACGTTCTTGACAAAAACGATTTAAACATAATTAAACTACGAAGGTCTGCAGGTGAGGCTGCTTTACACACACAGTTCCAAAGAGGGACGATACGATTAATTAAAGAAGGACGACTGAAAAGTACTTGTTTTACACGACGGAACTTTAAGCATAAGAGAAGGATTTTCACAATTACGAGTACGACAATGGCTAACAAATGACACATAATCAGAAACATTGATAGTCGTAATATCCATGCAATAACTTGAAGAAAAACGTTAAATCCTTTATCTCTCTATCGTATGTTAACGGTGGTAGGTTGAGGGTCAGCAATCGATCTTTGTATGTAATGTCACCTTTCTTCACTTGGAGGATACATCTCGTGGCGCGTCTTTGTAGTTTTTCCAAGCTAATTTTGTTAAGCGACTGATACGGAGACCAGATCTCTGTGGCATTAGATAGTTGTGATTTCACAAGTGACAGGTATAAAGTTCTTCGAGCATCGCAATTCGTTAACATTGGACAAGTTCTTCGTAATAAACCCAGCGTTGAATTTGCCTTCGTAACAAGTTTTGTAATGTGCCTATTCCAGGAGAGATTACTGGTAATAGTGATCCCTAGATCAACTTCGCTATCTACGCGTATCAATTCTGCGGACCCAAGATGGTAATTTAACACAATCGGTTGTTTACGTGGGGATATTGTCAGGGCTTTGCACTTAGACGTGTTGAAGTTAATGTTGGATTCCTTACTCCAATTGCCAACGTATGACAAAGCTTCTTGTAGATTATCGCAATCCTGGCGAGATGTTATTGCCGTATACAGCTTTGTGTCGTCAGCATACAGCCATGTTGAAGTTGTTGGAGGTATTACATCAGGGAGATCATTGATGAATAGAAGGAAAAGCATGGGGCCTAAAATACTCCCCTGTGGGACACCTGAGGTGACTGGAGACCATTCTGAAGCAACACCTTCGACAACAACACGCTGAGTACGTCCACGTAAATAGTCAGTGAACCAATTGTAAAGGTTACCTGATATACCATAAGCCTTCAGTTTCTTCAATAGGATACCATGATCAACGGAATCAAAGGCCTTAGAAAAATCTAGAAAAAGAACGTCTGTCTGGATATTTCTGTCTAGTAATTGTCCAATATGATGTAGAGTGGACAGAAGTTGTGTCACGCATGATCGTCCATGGAGAAAACCGTGCTGTGCTTTATTGATCATTTCCCGAACATGATCGTAAAATCGATGGCAAACGCATCGCTCCAAGACTTTGCTAATAATGGATAACAGTGATATGGGTCGGTAGTTGGTAGCAGGTTCTTTCTTAACTTTCTTATGTACTGGTGTTACATTAGCGGATTCGCTCTGCGCATGTCTGGATGCGTCGATACCTTCGTGTTGTACCACATGCGTTTGGTGAGAGCACGCTCATGCGTATAAATGCGGAGGCATCATGTATCTAGACGTGTACCAAGCTGCACTGACTATATATATATATATATATATATATATATATATATATATATATATATATATATATATATATATATATATATATATATATATATATATATATAGATATATATATATATATATAGATATATATATATAGATATATATATATATACAGTCGAACCTCTTTAAGCGGCCACCGGCCACCCTCGGGGATCGGCTTTGTGGCCGCTCAATAGAGGTAGCCGCTAAATAGAGGTACGCAAATAATAGACCCTGGGCGTAGTCAAATGTCTATTTTTAATTATAAATCACAGAATACAATAGTGATTTTATCTTTAATTCTCAGTTTCATCTACTATAACATTTTTTCCCCAGCCATACATTGTGCCAACAACACGAGGCCATCACACTATCATATTTCACACTAAATCTTTTGAACAAACATTTAGGGACTATTA